CAAACAGTTCGATTTACGGTTCTATTATATTTAAATAACAAACATCTGGTGATACAACTAGATCAATCGAATTGTAATTTTTGTTCGGTGCGTTCCGAAAGGAACGGTTCATATTGATATACCAAAATGGAATTACGCCCGTGAAAAAACCTTAATATCGATGTGAGTAACAATGATGTCACCGTCCTCTAATGCAATTGAAGATGTCCCTAGTGTTGAGCTACAAGTACGTGAAAATGCATTTAATAGACGAATTAACACATTCGCTATTGTAAACAATGGGCATATCGATATTGAAATATTTTTAAACGATGCCTTCCATATATATTACTTGGAACTTACGAAAAATATTGAAAATTTTATAAACGTGAAGACAATGGCTGTATTCGTAGCAGAGTTTGAAAAAAAAATTGTAAACACAGATGAACATAATGATTCTAACCATGATGATGATACTGGCGGCAATCATAGTGAGTTAACGCAGAAAGAGACTGTATATCTCCCAACGCCCACATGTAAGCTTGATTTAAGCGTGAACCTACATAAACATTTTCGAGAACAAATCGTTCAAAAAATAGTTGAAAGTGCAGAACAAGTTACATTCCGCGGTTCCGGATTTACGCTCGTCCGCATAATCGAGTTGAATGTTCACGTTAACCTATACAACCCATTACAAGGTTCATCATATATTCAAACACCTGAAAAACTACGATATAAAAATGCAATTATCAACGTACAAAATCAACATGATGAAATGTGCTTCAAATGGGCTATTTTATCTGCTTTACATCCAGTAGCAAATAATTCAGAGCGCATTCATCATTATTATCAATATAAAAACGAACTAAATTTTGATGGAATCGATTTTCCCGTTCGCTTGAATCAAATCGACAAATTTGTTCGACAAAATGACAGTATATCAATAAATTTATACTATTACGATGATGAAAATGAGGGTCGTATATGTCCATTACGTGTGAGTAATGAAGTTAAGCAGCATCACATTCATTTGCTTCTAATCAAAGATGGAGAAAGTGTTAATAAAACTGAGGAAAGAAATTTTAAAACAGCTAGCACTTCCAACATAATTAAGGAGATCTGCGATAATGATTCAATTCGTACTCATTATTGTTGGATAAAAAATTTAAAGGTGCATTTTCCAAGGCGACGATTGCAATCGTCCACGATTTTTTTTTCAAATCGGGCGTCAAAAAACCACAAATAATAAATCGTTCACGATTTTGGCGTCAAAAAAACCATTGATCTCAATCGTTAACGATTTTGGCCAACGATTTGAAATCGTACACGATTGTAATCGCCGCCTTGGAAAATGGACCTTAAGCCGTCTTGTCAGAAGTCAGCTGAGTAAACATAAATCTCAAAATTACATTTGCGATCGCTGTCTAATATTTTATGATACAAATGAAAAATTATTGAAACATACTGCAAAATGTACAAACGAGTGTAGCATTGAAATGCCCGATCAAACATGGAAATGGATGAAATTTAACAACTATAAACATCAGCTGAAAGCACCATTTGTTGTTTACGCTGATACTGAAGCGTATCTGAAGGAGCTCAGCATGGAATATCAAAAACGCATATTTAGTGAGGAATGTGCAACTACCGCATATCAGCAGCATCATATGTACAGCGTTGGATATTACTTTAAATGTGAATTTGACGATTCATTTTCATATTACCGAAGTAGCGGCAATCGTACCGATAGCGTCGAATGGTTCATCACAGAATTGAAGGAAATCGCTCATGGAGTTGCAAGGCTATTTGATGAAAACACAACAATGCTACCGTTAACTAAAGTTGAGAGACATGCATTCCACGATCCAAATGCATTATGTGCAATTTGTGGTGATATTTTTGGAGCAAATGATATTAGAGTACATGATCACTGCCATCTCACCGGCCGATATAGAGGTCCAGCCCATCAATCATGCAACTTACAGTTCCAAGATAGCCACATTATACCCGTTATTATGCACAATTTGTCGGGTTACGACTCACATTTATTTATAAAAGAGTTGGCAGCAAATAATATTATAAATGGAGATGTTTCAATTATTCCAGCTAATGCGGAACAATACATCGCTTTCACGAAAGTAGTGACAGGGAGCACACGTGGGCTCAATACGAGAGAAAACGTAAAATTTAAATTCATTGATTCATGTCGATTCATGCCTACATCTCTAGCTGAATTAGCATCACTACTACCAGCAGATAAAAAACAAATATTGTATAATGAATCTGAGAAAAATGGCTACACACCAGAACAAATCGCTATGCTTGAACGTAAAGGAGTTTTTCCTTATGAATATGTGAGCGGTATGGAACAGCTGAAGGAGACAAATCTACCATCAAAAGCATATTTTTACAGCAAACTTAGTGGAGAAGGAATATCGGATGACGATTACCAATTTGCTCACGATATCTGGCGGAAGTTCAACTGTAAAACGCTCGGAGACTATTCTGAACTGTATCTAAAGACAGATGTGCTACTGTTGGCCGACGTATTTGAAAATTTCCGAAATACATGCCATACAATTTATAGTTTGGATCCTGCAAACTACTATACAGCTCCAGGTCTTTCGTGGGATGCCATGCTCAAATATACCGGAGTGAGAATTGAACTGTTATCTGATGTGGAAATGTTGCTGTTCATCGAACGTGGAATTCGCGGTGGCATAAGTCAGTGCAGTAAACGTCAAGTTAAAGCCAACAATAAATATATGGGAGATGTATACAATGATGAGAAACCGTCAAATTATTTAATGTATTTAGATGGTAAATTTCGTTCACTCATCCACTCGTCCAGTCTATCTTTAATCAATTTCATGATAATTTATAATCTAATTTTGTTTTTTTCATCCACATTGATAGCAAATAATCTGTATGGACACGCAATGTCGCAGCCATTACCGCTGAGAGATTTCAAATGGATTGATGACAACATTGTAAAGACATCTTTTTCGAATGCAGATAAAATAGCTAAATTAGCTGACGATTCGGAATATGGTTATATCTTTGAGGTGGATCTACAATATCCAAAAAATTTACATGCTACACATAATGATTTTCCATTTTGTGCTGAAAAGCGAACGCTTCCGCAAGAAGTGTTCGATATTATCGGCATAAAACCGAATAAAATCGATAAATTATTGTTAACGTTATACGATAAAGAAAATTATATCATTCATTATCGCATGCTCAAATTAGCATTACAACACGGTCTAGTGTTGAAAAAAGTACATCGAGTACTTAAATTCGAACAAAATTGCTGGCTAAAGCCCTACATCGATGTTAACACAAAGCTACGTACGCAAGCTACCAACGACTTTGAAAAGTCGTTTTTTAAATATATGATAAACTCCGTTTTTGGTAAAACGATGGAGAATCTGCGTTTACGTGCAGATATCAAACTTGTCAACAAGTGGGGTGGGCGATGTGGTGCAGGCATGTTAATTGCTCGACCAAATTTCAAGAAATTCAAAATTATCGATGAAGATTTAGCAGTAATTGAGTTACAAAAAACACATATTAAAATGAATAAACCAATAATTATCGGTATGTCCATCTTAGACATATCGAAAATAACGATGTACAGTTTTCTGTACGACTTTTTAAAACCTGAATATGTAAAAAATTGTACGGTTGCCTATACAGACACCGACTCTTTCATACTTTCAATTCAAACGGATGATTTCTACAATGATATGAAGCAACATTTGGATCGCTACGATACAAGCGATTATCCGGAGAAGAATGTTTTCAAAATGCCTCAAAGGAATAAAAAAGTGCCCGGTCTTTTTAAAGACGAATTAAACGGAGAGATTTTAGCAGAATTTGTCGGTCTACGCGCAAAATGCTACGCTGTACTACCGTTTACAGTTAAAATGAGAAAGTGTGAATGTCCAGAAAGATCTGTCGCACCTCGCGTTATAACAGATAGTGACTATGTTGACTGCATCGAAAAGAATTGTAACATCGATAAAAAATCTAAAGTTATTAAAAAGTCTAAGGGTATCAAAAAGAATATAGTGAAACGTAGAATTGCATTTAGCGATTATGTTGACTGTATCGAGAAAAATTGTAATATTTCACGTGAACAGCATAACCTTCGCTCGAAATCACATCGAATATTCACAATTAAACAGAAAAAAATTGCCTTAAATCCGTTCGACGATAAGCGTTACCTTATTCGTTCGAATGGTATTAATACACTAGCTTGGGGCCATCATGAAATTAGTGGAATTGAGAAAAATTAATGTGAGGTGAAACGAGAATTTTCATATAATTTTAAGCAAAAATAGTAATTAATATACAAAAATGAGACATTTTTCATTGATTTTCATAAAAAAAGTAAAATTATGAAAGTTTCTGTATAATTCAAATTAAAATGGTTTCAAATCGAACTTATATGATTGCTTTGTATATTATAATATATATACTTATATACACATAAATATGAAATAAAAAGATTTGTTTTTTTGTAGAAAAATTACCGTGTTTGTTTTATTTATCTGTTTTCATGATTTGTTACAATTTTCAATATATATTTTATTCTTATAACGATTCCTCAATGTAGCCACCGCTCCGTAATTTAGAAATTAATTTCAACATTTCACTCAATGATTGAGTCGGAACATGCAAGTTGTCGCATACACGTCGCAATTTTCCACAAATTTCATTGAAATCTTTGTTTGATAAACATAAAACTTTTCCGTAGTTGTCAATTCTTCCGTAA